ATATATGGAGATATACCTATCTCATAGAGCTGGAAGGGACCCTGACGGGTCATCGAGTCCAGCCCCCTGCCTTCACTAGCAGGACCAAGTACTGATTTTGCCCCAGATCTTAACCCCCCTGCCCCTTTTTCACTCTCATCTGACACTCACATAATCTCTCTCTCTCTCTCTCTGGGGTGTTTTGCATTATTACCCCAAACTCCACACCCTTATCCTCCCTGAGGTTCCCCAATAATTGTGCCCAATGAAAATCTTCTTTCCCATAGCCTTGGAGATAAATCCCATGGTGTAGCATGGTTGGGAGGGGTCAGGAGGCAGCAGCTGGCCTCCAGCCCAAGGCTGAATGGGAAGGGCAGTGCCAGAGCATGGAGGGAGCTGGCTTCATTCATTTCTCTTTTCTATGTCTGCCCCTTCTCTGGTGTCCAGCTTGCCCTGGCAAGCAGGAGGCCATCCTAGAGTCGCTCTTCGTTGTCCTTCAAGGAGGCAAGCAGGGCCCATCCCTGCCATGCTGTGGGAGATATTGTTCTTTGTCCTGAATAGTAGGAGCCTGGAGGTTTGTGGTGGAAGCTTGCTCAGTGCTTCACGCCTCACCTACTGCTGCCCCAGCTATTTCACTCCTGGGCTCCCCACCCAGCTTTACCGATGCCCCACATTTCTGCCCTGCTGTTCCAGGCCTGGGCCCTGCGAAGCTGTGACTGGACCAGTTCAGATTTGGTTCTCAAGACAGCTGAAGGCCTGGCTTATGTAACTGAAGATGATTCGTCTATAGCAAGTGCACCATGCCTTGGAACTCCCATGGTGCTTCTGCATGATTGTCCAAGGCTGGGGCAGAGACTGTGCTCAGTTGGAAGCCCAGATGGCTGCTTCTCCCTCTTCCCAAGAAGTTAAAAAGTCCTGAATTTGCCTCAGTTTGGGTGTAGGAGGCATTGTGCTGCCAGAGCTAATTACCTCCCAGAATAAAACATGTTTTACTGCATTTTCTACTCAGCTGAACAAGCTGTGAGGAGCGTCTCTCCGGGCACTAGCCATGGTTCCGCACACCTTAGGGTGTGGCTAATCGCACTCTGCCTGCTACAACACACAGTGACTGCTTGCTTGGCTCACTCCCTGGGTTTCTGGCTCTCTGTGGCCCTTGCTGGGTTGAGTGTTGGCTCTGGCTTTTGGTGATTGAGCTGGACAGGTACCTGATGAGAAAAAACAGAGATTCCTGTAGCTCAGACTTATGTAGTTCTGGGGCATCAGGAGAGGCACAACTAAAAGCACCATTTTCCTAATGTACTTTTTACTTCCCCTGTTCAGACAGAGGCTGGGATTGGCCTGTAGCTAGAGGAAATGTCGGTGCCTTGTACTGCCACTGTCCAGTACCCCCTGTTTCAGGCTAACATTGATACGTGACCTTTTTATTTCTCTCATGCTGGCCCTTATGGTGAAGGGGCACCCACTTGCCCCCAGGAGTGTGTCCTAAGTTACGCTGCATGCTCCTTATTTACCTTCAGGCAGGCCTGTACCGTAGCTACCTCCAGCAGGTGAAGGGCAGCGAACTTGTTTGGAAAGGGAAAGGCAGTGCGTCCCCAAGTTTGTGTTGTGCATTTGGGCCTGTGTGTGTATGCGCGCAGTGCAGTGCATGTGTGTGCTGAAATGCACCGAAGGCTGTAGGTGGCAGGCCCCAGCTCTAGTGCGGAGGGCCTGAAGCGAGTGCGGCAGCAATGGCTTTAATTTGTTGAGCTTGCTTTGTCTCCCATAAATTACTCACTCTTTTATTTAAGTGCAATGAGAGCCTCACAAAGAGCAGGCAAGTCCCGACGCGAGCCTCCGAGCTGCGTGTGTGTATGTGTGTGCGCGCCTGCCTGCCTGTTGGAAACACAGAGATGGAAACGTCCCACGTGCTGCGGGCAGAGCTCCAGCATGAACAAACCTCTGTGCTCCAAGGGCAGCTTAGGAGCGTGTTCGGATAATGACATCTGAAAACAGGATGGCTGGGAGCAGCAGCAGAGCAACCAGGGGGCTTTGAAAGAGAGAGGAGTCTTAATCCCCTCCGCTAACAAGGAGGCGGCAGCTGCCAAGGCAGCAACGTTTGGCAGGGTCTGCACTGCTGCTTGTGGGCTCGCGTTGAGGGGTGGCAGAGAGGGCAACGCGGCACAAGTAGACATCTTGCCAGGGGCGGCTGAGGGGAGGGGCGAGCAGGGGAGAAGGGCGTCTTTCTTTTTGCTTTCTTTGAGCTGCTCGGACCGTGGTGGGATTGGAGGGACTGGGAAATGGTTAGCCCGGCCACAAAGTTCTGGGCTGGGCCTGCCTTGTAGGAGCATCTCACCTGGCACTGCCGGGGCTGAGGAACAAGGCTGCAAGGTGATGAATGCTGTGAGAGTCAAGCGCCTGCCTTCAGTGTCTGGGGGCCGTCTGTGCTTTGAGGGCAATCAGTCCCAGCCCTGCTCGGCAGGCAGCTGGATTGTGTTGGGCCTGAGGGTGGCCATTTAAGGCAGGTTTCACTGCATGGATGAGACATTTAGGCAGCATGTCAGTTCAGCGGAAGCTCCTTTGCCTAGGTACAGCGGATCTATAGACACAGACTGAACAGAGGACAGCTTTATTACATAGTGTGGAGGTGGGGATGTGAGCTGAGGTGAAAGGATGGCACATCCCTCTCTCCAAGTGGGCAGGCCTGGAATAATTCTTGTTTGGGAATACAGCAGTGGTGCATGAGCAAGCTGTACTGCACATGGGTACTCCACTGGGGCTCTAGCTAATCTAGTATCTGTTTCTCCAGCCAGCACTCAGCACTGCAGGATCTGCTGCTCTGGAGCGGTGCCGCATCACACTTGGGCAGCGCTGGAATGCCCTGCTCAAAGCCAATAGCCTGTGCGTCTCATCCCAGGGGGTAGTCACGGCAGCCTCCAGATATGCAGCATGATGTGGGCAGATCCCTGCTAAAAGCCAGGTAAACAGCAATTTATGCCAGAATGGACTTGGGCTCTCGCCTGCCTATTTGTTGGTTGCCCTGCCTGTCAGGGGGTTCTTTACTAGCCCGACCATGGCATAGGGCTTTAACACTGCGGTTTATAGAAGCTAGCTTGTGTAGCCTTCCAGCAAAGGTGCCTGCCTTTTCCCAACACCATCTCAATCTCATGACTCCAGGAGGTCCCTGTTCTCACTTGGGTAGGCTAGTCTGTACACAGTTTATGGTGCGTAGATATACCTCAGTCCTGCAAACGCTGAAGGCACGTGGATACACTTTACACATGTGAGTAGCCCCAGTGAATACGCTGAGTAAAATTACTCATGTACTTAAATGTTTGCAGGAGTGGGGGGGCATCGTCAGTAGGGCTCAGCCCCTCAACTCTTTCGAGTCCAGATGAAAACATCACTGAGGTGCCAATCATGGCTGGTTAATAGAGAGGCTCTGCCCTGGCACTGGCATCAGCACCAGGATGGGGGCCTTAAGAAACCACAACCAATCAGAAACCTTTGAGATCCTTAAACAAAAACAAGCCAGAGACACATAAACCCAATGAATAAGGTAACTTCATCGTTTGTTTGGTTGGTTGTTTTTTTTTCCAGTTTTTATTGAGTGAAAATGTCAAACCTTGCATCAGTCATGCAAAAAAAAAAAATCAAATAAATAAAACACATATATTAAATTTCTAATAGCACTAAATTCAAGTGGAAAAATATTCAGTTCTTAATAATGCAGGTGCCGAAGAGACCAGATTCAAGTAAATCAGAGCACACCGTCCTGTTTAGGGTGGTTTATTTTCTTTTCACTTTCTGCATTTTTTTTGTCTCAAAACCTATATATATCTATCTATATATCTATATATATATGTATATACATATAGATATATATATACACACACACATATATATGTGCATACATATTATTTTTATATTTATATATATACACATACATATTTATAAAACATTAAAAAGAGCATTGGTGGTTCAAGCATTAATTCCCCTCCCCCCCATGGAAATAAAAATAAAACAACAACAAAACAAAACAAAATTACACATTTAAAATTCAAAATGAGCTAGAAATGGCTTATAGTCCTAGTGTGCAATATGGATATTACAAAAGGCTAAAATTCTCCCTTCCCTTTTTTTTTTAATCTTGGGGGTTTTTTTGTTTTGTTTTTTTGCTACATTGAAAAAAAGTTTATTTTAAACTTTTTTTTTTTTAAACAAAATTCTTTCTACACAAACATTAATCCAGTTGAGTATGTGTCTATAACGGCCTAGTTGGTTTTTTTTTCTCTCTTCAGCAGTGAATGGTGGCAGAATTGGGAGGGTTTGTCTCAAGGGCTTTTGGGTTTGTTTGTTTTGAACAGACTAATTCGGTCTCGTCTCTCCCGCTCCTAAGTCAGTCAGTTGAATTCCCTGGTCCTCAGGTCAGCAAGCTACTTTAAACACACGCCTAAATTTCATCATATGAGCAGCCCCACTGACTCCAGTGCTTAAAGTCATACACAGCTTGCTGAACTGGAGTCCTGTACATGGCCTGAGTTCAGGAACGCACTTAAATCCATCCCTGTTCAGCAACTCCCCTAAGGATATGTTTACCTCTCATTTAAAAAACCACGCAATTTAAGCCTATGCTTAAAGGCTTTGCTGAATCAGGGTCTTTATGTGGCAAAAAAGAGACTTGTTGGTTTTAACCCATCTTGATTTTTCAGTTGTAAAGAAAGAAATAAAAGGAAATGCAATCAGGGACAGGCAGTGCAGGTCAACCTGAGGCCCCATCGTGAGGTGGTGGGCACTCGCTGGGGGGCGGGGAGGGGAGGGTTCAGCGCGTTGTCAGATCAGGCCCTTGTTCGGCAGGCTGAGTCTGGTACCAGCCTGTCCTTTCCCAGTGCCAGCTCCTGAAAATAAGAACTATCTAAGGTGGGTGGAGGCTTGGTGGGAAGAGGGTTTGATGTATGGGTCAGAGATGGATGGGGGGGGGGGTGAGAGACAGCAATGAGTCATAAATGCAGCTTCTGCTTGAGGCACTGTGGGGTTGATGGTGGGGGAGGGAGTGGTGGTTGTCTTCTCACACCCCTGCCCTACCCAGCCGCTTACGCCCGCCCACTTCCTGAACCCCACTAGGTATAGGATTCAGTCAGTGGAGGCTAGTGAGATTGAAGAGGCAGGCTCCTAGCTGATTTATAGCAGCAAGCAGAGGTCCCCGTGGAGCGGATTTCAAACAGGGCTTGGCCATGTTCGTCCTGCATAGCAACCACTAGCTACAGGGAGCTCTCCATCTCCATGATCTTACCCCTTCCCGTGGCTCCCAGTCCTGAACACCCTTCTGACTGTAGGGAGGTCTAAGCTTGGGAGTAGTTCCATTGAAGTAAATGGCAAAACTTTGTTGACTTCAATGGTGCAAATTAAGCACTGCTGTGCGTATCTGCAGGTTTGGAGCCATGTTAGGACTAGAGGGTTTTCTATAGCACCCATCACGCTAGTAGGTAAGTGCTTGAACAAGGGCAACACAGTATAAAACCTGCCGCTAAATGCTCTAAGTACAGCCAATCTAACCCATCCTGCCTCTGGGACAACATGCCCCAAGTCCCTCTCTGTACCCACTGAGGAAGCTAGCTTCCTTATATTGGTAACGGCAGGGGAGGGCTGTACTAGAAAACAAGAAGGGGGGGGTGCGAAGGAGAGTAACAAAAATAAAACCATATGAAAAATAAAAGCCACACAAATAACTGCTAGCAAACCCCCACCCCCCACCATATTAAATTAAACTACAAACTTCTTTTCACAACAGCCATTTGTTTGTTTCATCTCTACAAAATTCAAGTTAAAATTCGGAATCGTGCAGCTCCAGTCAGTGCTAGGAGTATGAAGACAGCCTCAAACCATGGGGTTAAGGCCCCTCCCCCCTCTGCTGCCCACTACCAATAAATGCTTAAAAAAACCCAAACCCTGAAAGAGAGAAAAAAATTGCACACAAGTAACCAAATCTAGACTCTAAGGGCTATCCAGAAGGCAGGCCCAGGTCCCTCTAGCAGGCGTTGTTTCTCTTTGTTCTATATAGAATAACCTTTAAAGGAAAAATACTGTACAATTTTTTTTGTTACTTTTTTTCCTTTTTCTCTCCTCCCCCCCCTTTCCTTTTTAAGAATTATCCAAACATCTCCCTGCATTTAAACAGCTGAGGAGCTTGTCTATCGTTCGGACCCAGCTCCATGCTGGCTCCTTAGGGAAATAATAAGAAAACAACCCAAACTGCTTGAGGCCTCTTTCTGTGTAGGGTAGAAATGAATGACAGGGATTCCTTGGGCTTAGGGGGTTTGTTATTAGAAAAAATAATTAAAACAGAACAAAATAAACAAGGGCCAAGTCTTAGACACAAGGGAGCGAAATGCCCAGCTGGTCTACACACTGGCACCAAAATCACTGCATCAAGCTTAATTCACACCTTTAGTCCTTTTGGGGCCAGTGCACATGTATAGACAAGCTCTCTGTCTCAGGACTTGGGGGGTCAAACAGCAACTGTCATCTATGAGAATGCTGGATAGTCTCCTGTAGTGTGTGTGTGTGTGTAAACCCTTTATTGGCGGGGTTGGGGAAAGAGAACAGCGGGAGCGCTTGTAACCATTTGAGTGCTGTAGGCCCATCCAGCTACCATGGTGCTGCCTACAGGCACTGCGTCCTGCACTATGCTGCCCCATGCCTGCTGTGCTGCCGGCCTTGGTGCGATTCGCTCAGGTGGAGGAGGCTCGACACCCTGCTGCACTGCATGTAGGACTGCTCCCAAGTTCCACTGCTTGCCATGCCACAGGAGCCAAAGGTAGTCGGGTGCAGGACCTGAGCAATCAATAGCTCTCCATCCAGCATCTGAGGAGAGAGCCAAGTCGTTCCACTGCCAGCCCAGCGTCTGCCTTAATCCCCCACCCTTTCTGTGTGGGTGATGGTTTTGCTCTCTCTTCCCTTCGGGAAATTCATTAGCCTTTGCACAGAATCTACTTGCCCACCCTCACCTTGAGGAGGAAAACACTGAGGATACTCTGCTTGCTCATCATTTAAAAAAATCAATCGCCCTGCGTCAGAGGGCAAGTAGCATTTAGCAAGGCATTGCTGGGGTGGCATTGCTCTTTCCCTCCAGCTGCACCAAGGCAAAGGATGCTAATCTCTCCTTCTGCACCTGCCTCCATTCACAGCCTGCCTGAGAAAGGGGTGCTGTCTCTGAAGCACCAAAAAGAAAGAGCCTAAACCTAGAGAAAGAGGGGTAGCACCTGGGGATGGGAGCAGGGGTTAAACCCCAGTCCTCCAGTGTGAGTGACAGACCCTTTAACCACCATATGGCGATGGCGACCTTCCCTCCTATGACTGCAGCTAGATCACTACCAGGAGATCAGCAGGAGCTGGGGGAGGTGACCTACAGCTGTTCCGACAGTTCTAGACAAAGGGAAGCTTAACAATATAAATAGCATTTAAAAAATTATTATTATTAATAATAATAAAGAGGATCTGGAAGAACAGAGAAGTGTTCCATTCCCAGCCCCGCTGATTCATTAATGCTTCCTCGTTTGTAAGACAATAAATACCCCCTCCCACCCTTGCTGTCTGGTGCATCAGTCTCTCCCATTTATTTAATGCTGGAAAAAAGAAAAAGACACTCCCCCCCCGCCCCCCCCCCGGTAAAGGCTTAGCTAGTTGCCTTTGTGCCACCAGTTCCTTACACGCACTTAAAAAAACCCACATAATTCTAAAATTCATCACCTGTCATCCCCGCACCCCCCTTCCGAGGAGTGGAGATTATTATTAGTATCATACAACTAAAAACATGGAAAAATAAAATCCAGAAATAAAAGAAGGGGGAAAAGCCCACCCCAAAAGAAGGGGTCCCGAGACTGGGCACACGCCCCACAATGAGGGGAGGAAAGGAGAGCAGATGTCACCCTCAGAGCTAGTGTTCATCTAGAAGGGTTTTATGTCTCTGCGTCCTGCCCTATCTTCTGTCATCGCAGAATGAAGTGATGGTGCGCTGGCCCCATGCGACCATGTCTGGCCCGTGGGGCCTCGTGCGTGCGGTGTTGAGTTCGTTTTGTCGCTTACCGTCACGGTGCTTTGTTCTCTCCTCATAAGGGGTCCTCTTAGTAATTTCATTTAAGAGCAAAACCAAACCTGCTGCTGTCTCTAAGGTTAAGGAGAAGCTGCCGGTGCGAGGGTGTGGGTTGGGGTCAGGGCAAGGGTGGGGTCCAGAGCAGGGGTGGGGGCTGACGTGAGGTCTGGGTTTGGCTCGCCCAGAGGCCTGGAAGCATCGCCGTGGTCTATGGAAGTAGAGGCCTCCCCTGTTTCCCCATCCTCTTTAGTGGCCAAGCCTTCAGGGTCGGGGAGTGACTCTTCAGAGTCTGTATTCAGGTCTTCCTCCTCGTCTTCGTCGTCGTCGTCATCATCGTCATCCTCATCGTCGTCATCCTCTTCCTCGTTTATCTCCTCCTCCTCCTCGTCCTCATCTTGGGATGAGTCGTCTTCATCCTCCACATCGCCGGAGTTGGATACCATCACCCCACTCTCATGAGGGCTTGTCCCTGCTCTGCTGGGTGATGGGCCAGCAGCAGCCTCCGGTAGCTTCTTGCTGAGGTCCAAGGAGTCATTGAGGCCCACGCCAGCTGCGTTCTGCAGGAAGAAGAGGGAGCTGTTGGCATCAGTGCTGAGGTTGAGGGAGCTGTCCAGGTTGACGGAAGAGTTCTGGACGTCGTACTCCAGGGTGGAGTGATGGAGGCCCTCGGGGCCAGGAGAGATGGCTGGCAGCTCCCCCCGCTCCTGTTTCTCATGCTTACGCTTGTGTGAGTCCATCTGTGACATGCCCACCACAGTGTGTTTGCAGCCGGGGTAGGTGCAGTGGAAGTGGGAGCACTTGAGTTTGTACTTGCAGTCGGGCACCTCGCAGTCCACACTGGAGCTGAACTGGCAGAAGCCGGCAGCACTGATGACGTCCTGCTTGCCATGGTGCTTGCGGTGGGCGGTCACCTTGGTGCTGTCGGTGCAGCGGAAGCCACAGCGCAGGCAGTGGAAGTGCGTGCTGTTGCCAGAGAACTGGCAGTCGGGGAAGTTGCAGCTCAATGAGGACTTGAAGCGCTTGAAGTCATCCAGCACCAGGTTGTCGACGCGGTCGTGGTGCTGGGCGTGCTTGTACATGTGGGTGCGGCCGCAGAACTTGTAGCCACAGTTCTCCCGGGTGCAGTGGTAGTGGGTGACCTTGAGGGAGAACTGGCAGTTGGTGTCCTTGCAGTCCTCATAGAGATCGTAGCGCCGGAAACCCTCCAGCATCATCCCCTCATCCAGCATCTTGCGCGAGGAGGCTGTCTTGCGGCGCTTGCCAAATGGAGACATATCCTCGATGATCCAGAAGCGCTTTTTGGCCCCCGAGGCAGTTGGCATGGTGATGGTATTCCCTGGGGACAGGAAGAGGAGAGTGGCATTACTCATAGAGGGGCAGCATGAACTCCTATCACCTCCTGTAACCAGCATGGTACTTGCCAGGTTGGATCATACCCCATATTCTACCTACGACCCATGGCAAATGCATGATGCTGCAGGGGAAGCAGCCCCCCACCCAGTAAGTCTCCTGACCAGCCTTGTATCCTGCACAGGGGCTGGGGAAGGTGTGCCGATTAGTGCTCATTCAATATTATGGCAGTAGTGAACTTGATTTCCTGACACACTCTACCCCCACGCTATTTGTGTTGCTGGGCACCAGGAAATCCTTAGAGTTGCCACTCTTGTAGACATGATAATGTCCAAGCATCAGCTGCTGCTGCTTGTCAGGGTCAGAAATCTCCCAGCCTATCCTGTCACTTTGTCCTCCTTCCCCAGGAGTAAGCTCATTCCAGCCCACAGAATGCGGCACTTTCATTGCTCCTTTCACCCCAAACAATCCCTGAGTGCTTTATAAACTATACACAGTGTCCTTCTCCCTGATTGCTGTTTAATAGGGCACTGCAACACTTTATAGCTATTTAGGACAGGAAGTGGAGAAGACTAGCCACATCTAATTAAAACTGCAAGGGGGGATTTTTAGAAGCAGGATGCACTTTGGCCAGAATAGTGTAACATACCTCATTGTAATGAGCCTAAATATTACACTGATGAGCGCACACAAACAGATGTTCAGGAGGGGTAATTCTCAAGTGACTATCCATTGGGCTCCAAGAGAAAAATCCCACTTTTAAAGCCTTTCCTTGAGCCTCAACAATCAGCCCACTTGCCACTAAGGGACCAATGTCAGTTTCCCATCCTTGGAGATAAGTGCCGGAGTCCCAGAGGACTGAACCTGATACTAAGAATTTGACCACTTTACATCCACATTTCCTTCCTCTTCTGCCCACTGGTTATTCCTCAGGTCAGAGACTTTACAGTCATGATCTATTCTGACCTCCTGCACATTGCGGGCCACAGAACTTCACCCACCCCCTCCTGTAATAGACCCCTAGCCTTTGGCTGAGTTACTGACGTCCTCCAATCATGGTTTAAAGACTTCAAGTTACAGAGAATCCACCATTTGCACCTGGCAGTGACCCGTGCCCCATGCTGCAGAGGAAGATGAAAAACCCAGCTCCAGATCCAATGTACTCAGAGCAGGGCTTGGGGAGGCAAGAAGACTCTCTCACCCGGTGCAAAATGATGAATTTCACTGGAAATTAGTTTCCAACTAAAATGGGCCTTCCTGAGCTGCATGTGGGGCTGCCATCCTGTTGAAAAGAGGCATGGTCTGTGTCAAGAGTGTCTGGGTCCCAGCACCAAAGCAGTTTGCATCCTGCTCTAGGAGTCTGAAGACGCACTCAATCATTTGTTTGAATGCTGTAAAGTTCTTTTTCTGACTGTAAGCATGTACACACGGTGGTGGATGCTGGTTTACCATGTCAGCCATGGGTGGGCCTCAAATGATGCCCCTTGAAACTAAGATGGTGCTTAACAAATAGAGTCTCCAAAATGGTGAGCAACACTGAATGCCGAGGAACAGCACCAGACTGAAAACCTTGGAGATAGAAGAGTTCAAACTCTCCACAAAGCAGGGACGGCATGGACAGCAGTAGGCCAAACTCCCCCCAGAGCGCAATGCCAACATCCCTCTGGAGTGAGCCCACGCCTAGGAGAGCGAGGCAGAGGACAGAAGTCTCACATGCCCATTCAGTTTGCATGGTGTCTCTGGTGACACTGGCAACAAAGGAGACAATTCACGGTGATGGCTGTCTTAGTGATGGTCACTAGGAACTGGGCTAAGCCCCCTTACACTGATTTAATCTGCACCTCTAAACAGCCGCCAGAGATAGAACTCTCCATCACTATTAAGCTCAACCAGATTCAAACCAGTGACTTCAAGGTTACAGAATCCCTATCCCAGTAGGGTCCAGGTCCCCCAAAGCACACACTATTTTCAGACACAAATCTGTGCTTATAGGTGGCAAGGTGCAGGAGCGCTCTGCAGGCTGCACTCAGGTCCTGGTACAGGACACTGATCTCCAGGCCAGTTCCTTGCTGCACTCCTATTTTGGAGAGGAAGAAAAAGGCTGCAAGAGTCTAGTTACTGGGCCTGATTCTAGAGCTTATTTACACTGCGATAAACCAGGAGTAATTCCATAGTTTGGGGTTCAGGCACTGGATGGCAATTTGGAAGACCTGGTTCAATTCCTGGCTCTGTCAGATTCACTGTGTGATCATGGGCAAACCATGTAATCTCTCTGCCTCAGTTCCCAGCTCTTCTGCTGGTGTCCCTTTCTCTCACCCTCTTTCTCTATTTCGAGTGCAAACCCTTTGGGCAGGAACCATCTCTTGCTGGGTGTTTACAGCCCCTAGCATAATGGGAACTCGATCTCCTTTGAGGGCTCTAGCTGCTGCTGTAAAACAAACAATAAATAACAACAGCAACATAGAAGTCATGGAGTTCCATTGGGGTAAAGCCAGTGTAAGTGAGCAGAGAATGCGGCCCCATGTGTCTATATTACAAAGAAGTATTAAAACACTAATGGTTTTAAAGAGGTGGGTCCATTACTGAATAACCCCTAGCACATGAACAACACTATATTTTCATAGCACTGTATACAGAGTAACTAATTGAGCCTCCCACTGTCTCTAAGAGGTAGGTAAGTATCATTATACCCATAATACTGATGAGCTAGGTGAGGCACAGAGAGGTTAAATGACTTGCCCAAGGACACTGATGCCTTGTCCTCACTGAAATGCGTGTTTAGTTAAACCAGTGCAGTATCCCCCTGCCAGTATGGACACATACTTTGATGTGAGAGTGGCTTGTTTTGGTTTATCTTATGACAATTTTGAATCAGTTTGGTTAGCCAGGTTTATTTCAGCTCATCTTAAACTCAGTCTCCACTCAGCCTTTTGCACCAGTTTAACTAAGGCTATTTAAAATCACTTATTTAATTAGCCTAGTTCAACTTCCTTGGGTAGGGTGTGTGAAGGTGGAGAAGAACCCAGCGGTCCTGATTCCATGTCTCCTGCTCTGACCACTAGACTGTGCTCATTCCCTAATAACTAATTAGAGGCAAACATGCCTCAACAAATTTAGGCCGAAGCAGCTCTCAACTGTAAGTAGCTTATAGTCCGCCTGTCCTGTCAGCAGGGGATGATGATTTTATACAGTACTTTTCACCTATCAGTGTCAGAATACTTTAAAAAGTATCATTATCCTCATTTTACAGATGACGAAACTGAGACAGAAAGGGGATGTAATTTGCCTGTCAAAAGAGTTCAGTTTTGTGATTGTCTGTCTATTGGACCACACTCCCGCTGTTGGGGTGAAATTCACCCCTCTGCGGAGGGCCACCACACGTGAAGGCATAATTTAAATCCCACTTAAGCAGTCAAAATCCCCATGAAGCTCTGGGCAGGGCAATGACCACTGTTTGGGAGTTTCACACCTCTGCATGCTTACATTGTGCCTGGCTGGCAGAGGATAGCTCAAGTTTCTGAGCTGTTGGGTCTTTTTAAAAACATACTGTGCTAGCACAAATATGCTTCCAATTAACTGAGAAGGAGGCAGGCTGGGAAAAGAGGGCAAAATTGGGCAAGCCCTGAAAAGCCATTCCCATCTGTGATGTCCATGAGCTCTGTCATGTAGGAAACACTGAGGGCCGGAGGTGTTTGAAAACCAGCCTTACTTTCTGCAGCTGTAATTGGTGGATGTAAATAACTGTGGGTGCAACAGAGATCACTGAGATGCATCATGTCAGAGGCATCACGTATGTCCATGAGACCCCAAAACATGGGATGGAGAAAGCCAGTCCCAAGCTCATGGTGCACATGGGAATGGCCTGTAGTGATGTGTAGCAAGGGCTGGGAGCTATGAGACTGGTTGGCCAAAGAGCTCTAAACCAGTCTCCAAGTCCTGTTATGCGATATGGTCAACATGTTGTGTTTTGGCCACCTCATAGATTCATAGACTTTAAGGTCAGAAGGGACCATTATGATCATCTAGTCTGACCTCCTGCACAACCCAGGCCACAGAATCTCACCCACCCACTCCTGTAACAAACCCCTGATGTATGTCTGAGTTACTGAAGTCCTCAAAACGTGGTTTAAAGACCTCAAGGTGCAGAGAATCCTACAGCAAGTGACCCGTGCCCCACGCTGCAGAGGAAGGTGCAAAACCTCCAGGGCTTCTGCCAATCTGCCCTGGAGGAAAATCCCTTCCCGACCCCAAATATGGCGATCAGTTAAACCCTGAGCATGTGGGCAAGACTCACCAGCCAGCACCCAGGAAAGAATTCTCTAACAGGAGGAGGAAGAGGGGGCGGCTCAAAAATGGCAGGTTTAATTACAAATGTTGCTGTTGGATTTGGGTTGGGAATGATGAGGAATTGCTTCTGGTCATGTGAATTTTTCACAGCGATTTACTGTGCTTTCAGATATCTTCCTTGGGCATGTTTACAGCATGACGTTATTATCCCAGCAGTGGAAGGGAGGGTGTATGTGTGTATTGGGGAGCCCTTGGACAGAGTTAGAGAGACAGTGATGTCTTTTCCATTTATAACTTAACAGAGCTCAAGGGGTGGGAAGAGACTATGGGCATGGGGAGCTGTGACTCAGAGATAAAGCATATAACAATTACCTGCTGCATCCTGAACTAGGGGAACGTCACTTTTTACTGGAGTTGGAGTGGCAATGATGGGCGAGAAAGCAGGTGTGCTGGTGGCAGGCATGACAATGCCCCTGCTGGATCCAAGAGTGGCACTGAGCAGAGAGTATGAGAGACAAGATGGAGAGAAGAGGTAGGGGAGGGAGGGGAGAGGAGACCTGAGCAAGGCTTGTGAGAAAGATGGAGGCAGAGGAGGCGGTGGAGGTTGTGGTGCATTGTGGGTAGCGTCATCGGCAGCGGCAGCAGTAGGAGGAGGAGGAGGAACCAGGCAGCCTGGAGAATGTGGAGAGAAAAAAATAGCAGAAAAAACAAAACAAAAAGGAAAAACAAAAGAACCGAAATGAGAACCCAAGAGTGGAAGCAATATGATGAAAATGGAAAATACATTCACACACATACGAAACAGAACTGTAACAGAGAGGAGATGGAAGATGCGTGATTGACAGCAGCAGCAGGAGGAATGGTGGTCACTGCAGAAAACAAGGAGTGGCCTCAATTGCAGGGGGTGGAGCCACCTGGCTTCCAAAAAGAAATTCCTGCCCTGCTTAGTCTGTCCGTTCATCCACGTGGCGCCAGCGTGCACCAGCCTGCTGCTGAGAGGACTCTGTTGCAGGGTATTATCCCAGAGGCTTTCGGATTCACGCATAACATGGTTATTAGTCAGTGGGTTGTTCTCCGGGAGGTGTGACTGATGGCTCCGATGGTGCGGTTAGTTAACAGAGAATCCTGGGAGCTGCTGTCCCTCCAAACCCTCTGGAGGAGGTTTAGCACTATGTGCAGCTGTCGTTATCATGGAATGTGTCAGGGTAGCGTGCAGAGGTTGTGTTAGTGCCCCGTGTGATGTGAGAGGTCAGGACATCTTCGTTAGTCTTGTCCCCACCCAGTGTCAGTGGGAATCATTCATTACTCTTATTTCCTACTGCTGTTTAAAAGTAACGGAGATGAACATCCACCCCAGCCCAGAGGTCTGAACTGAACCCCCTCAGCAGGGAAATGCTGGGCTCAAGTTGTCACCTGACCTTTCATTTAATCAGTGTTGGAAGGGAAAGTAGGGAAAAAAAATAAGTCTGAAACTTAGGTCCCAAGAGACAATAAATGTTATAAAGAGACTCAGAAACAAGCCGCCCTGGGGAGACTTCACAGAAGGCTTTCCTGGAATACTAACAGGCAGCCAGAGGTAAGGACAATTAAGGGAGCCTTACCCACTGCTACGGGGTATTAGAGATGAGTTCTGTATCTGCCTGCTGAAGAGAGAATCCCATAATTGATGGAAGTTAGGCATGGTCAGATCTCAATCCTCAAGACAGGAAGGGATGTTAGAGTTTGCTTTATGCATCCCTTCCTAAAAGAGGACATGACACCAGGGGGTCTCCTCTGTGCATTGCTCTGATAAGGAGGTAGTGACATTAGAGGTTTTCTTTTCTGCATCACAACTCGTAAGGGGAGAGGAGCTCAGTGGACTGCTTTTATAGGTCACTTCCTGAGAAAGTGATGGCAGAGGTTCTCATTTACTTACACATCACTTCCTGAAAGAGTGAAGCCAGAGGGTCTCTGTTCAGTTTATTGAGCATTAGGAGTGCAGGGAAACCTCTGGCTTCTAGCTGTGGCACAGAGAAACCCAAAAGATACTGGGGGAAGGCAAGGAGCAGAACAGCAAGGGAAATTAACTTTACAGCCCTAATGACTCAATGGCTCTGGTACAGATATTGAGCAGTTCAATTATTCAAAAAGGTCCAGCTCCGAAAGATAGGACAAAAACCTCTTCAGAGGGAGAAAAAGAAGGGATTGTCAGGAGTTAAGGGACAGCCCAGAACGATGTGGAGATGGCTCCCTCCCTGTGAATGATGTGGGGGGGCGAGGCTAGCGTAAGGTGATATTCTGCTGAGCCAGGGGCTGACAGTGTGTGTCAAAAGGCGCAGTTTCTCCTTGGCCTCTGGTTGTGAATTATGGGCTCTTGGCAGCAGAGACCTGCAAAACTATTTCTCCCCTGCTGCCCCTTACCTGCTGATGTGCTTTCGTTGCCCACTGGAGTGCTGGAGCAGCTGCGGTCCATATTGGAGGATTCAGAGGAGATGCCTCCAGGGCTACAGCCAGTGTAATCCATGTACTCATCTGTTTCAGTGTCCATCATGCTTTGGGGTCCCTGAAAGGAAGCTGGGGTTCCTGATGAAGCTGGGCTGGGTGCCATGCTGCCAACATGGGGGAGATTTTCATTTCTTGAAGTGTGGCCAATAACCTGCAGCAAGAAATTAAGACAGGGACTTTTCACACCAAAAGTGAGATGTCAAGACCAAAGCCATCTGTTTACACATTTAGTTTTCTCTGACATTGTTCTTCAGGGATAGTTGGAATATGTTGGCAAGTGGATCCTATGGCACTGAGGCCATGAGAGTGAATCCTACCTCAGTCAGAGGCTGGGAGTGGTAATCTTGGCACCAGTACCCTGGGGTGTGGATTCTCATGCATTCAGATGGGAGTGTGTACATTGGCACCGGTGCCCTAACGTGTGTATCCTACTATCCTTAGAGGTTGGGGTGTGACGTTTAGCACTCCTGCCCTGGTTAGGTGGAGCATTCAGAGATTAGGCGTGTGAGTCTTGGCTCTAGCGCTGCTGGGAGGGTACCCAGCAGCACTCAGCCCAGTGCCGTTCTGCAGTGAGCAATCAAAGGTGCATCACTACATATGTATCTGCTGCTTAAATAACCAGTGGATTCACCTGCGTGGGAACTCGGTCAAAGTTTTTCCCCAGCATCCTCCTCATGTGCTTCCTGGCATGGGATGTCATTTGGTGCTTGAGCAGGAAGGAAAACTGGCAGCCCTCTCGAATGCAGTGGAAATGGCTGTTCACCTGGTTATACTTGCAACCTGCAGCCACAAAACCAATACAAATCTGGTACGTTAAAATAGCAAGAGACAGGGTTGTATCAGCACACACTGGAGGTAGCACCAGACTGCTGCTGTATTGAATCCTGATGGTCTGGAGTGCTCTGTGGATTCTTCAATGACAGCCCCAGACCCAAAATTAAATCCTTCCCAAGCTGAGTAATGGGGAGAAAGGATGTGATTGATTTAGACACAGGAAATGGGCTTATGCCACAGAGTACCACCCCCATCCCTCTTGTGACAGAGGGAACAAGGGGGAAATGTATTATTAATGTTGATTATTTGCATTATGCCAGCACCTAGAGATCCCAATCCTAGATCAGGACCCTGTTGTGCTAGATGGTGTACAAACACAACAAAAAGACAGGCCCTGTCCCAAGGAGCTTACAATTGAAGTTGAAAGAAAGAATAATATCCGGGATTGTTCCATGTTGGAAACAGCCAGCTCCTTTTGATCTATGTGCTCTGGAAGCAGAATGATAGCCCCTTTAACACCCTGGGCCATGAGGCTCCTCCATCCCATCCCCAACGTTCCAGCTCTGACCAGTGCATGTTCCAAGGCCAAATGTGGAGAAGCCAGGAAGCGTTTGTTTCTACTCCTGGTTTGGTGACCTAGGGGCTGGTACCCGGCTGAGAGTAATGGAAACAGCTTACATGGATTCTCACAGGCTGGACCTGCCTCCAGCCAGACAAGCAGAATCCATTTTTTTCCAAACAGCCCCACTAGTGTTTTCTTTATGGGAAAATGCTGGATTCTGCCTCACGCAAATTACAACGAATCTGTGTGACTGATTACCAGACAATCCCCAGACCATGTCCTATAGCTGAAGTATAGCTTGCTGCAGTAAAACCATAGGCATGTATACACACTGACAGAGACCTACAGCCGCACACCTGATGAAAACACACTCACAAAACTCAACATAGGCACTTGCTGTACACACAAACACACACAACAAGACACACTTGCACTCACACACTTGCATACAGATGCAGGAACACATCTAGCTGCCCAAATCGACAGACACACGCCTGTATGGAGACATACACAATCACATGGAAAGACATACCTACATGTACGTGCATCCCCACAGTGCCCACACACACAGTAGACATGCCATTGCCAAACAGCTCCTGAATCATTCGCCTTGTCTTTAAGGCGGAGATGGTGCTTTATGTGTATGCCAAGTTTGTGTTTGTTTAGATATTCTGCCCCTCCTCCCTCCACACCCCACCTCATCTGCCCTCCCTATCATGTTGTGCTGTTCTTTGGGATGAAGAACAAACAGTGCTGGCGGGACTGAAACAGTATCAGCAAAGGGCAGGTGAAGACTTGCCCGTTGCTAGGGCAGCGGGGCAGGCTGAGTTTCATATATCATCGCCCCGCTTTGTCTAGCCCCGGCTATCACCTGAAACACCAAAAGTTGAGTAAATAACAGCAACTGCTCAATCTCCTGACATTTGTAAACCGAGACCCAGGTAAGGACCAGCCTCGGTGTGTTGACACCTGTTGCCTTGGTTACCATGGACGACTTATCGCTCAGCATACATTTTTTATGAATTAAAAGCTGAAGGGGAGCATTTTTGTTTTGGCTGTCACGGGTTTGTATTTTTTGGCCATTGACGACTCCTCTCCTGCTTCTCAACAGAGTACAGGGGTAGTCAATAGGGGGACCGCAGGCCAAATCCGGACCACCAGATGCTTTTCAATAGACCCCAAAATCTTTTTAATTTACTCATTGTTGTTATTCTTTTATTATATCCCTTGACATAAAATAATTGACTGCTTCTGAAGTAAGCTGTGTCCAGGCAGCAGTAGGAAAGGACAGAGAGGCTGAGCTACCCTGCTGGAGCTGCTGAGGCCAAACCTCCCCCCAGGGCTGATAGGGCAGGCTGGTTTCCTTAAGCCAAAAATGAGTAATGGGCGTGTGAGTCCCATGCAGTGTTGTGGAGGCTCTGGGGCACTGTCTGTGAGGAATTCTCTTACTCGAGTGGGCTGGACTGTGGTTCCTGGGCACTCTTTGTGGGGACTCACTCTGCCTCTCTCTTTGGGGTAATTGTTTCCCCTGCTTTTTGCTGGATGCTTTTAGGCACCGACATTTCATAAGTGCTTTGGTGCTACCTGACGAATCTAGCTAGCGGGCAAACCAAGGCGCCCAGCACAGTGCCTTGTATCAGATATTTTGATGCGCTGACACTCCAGTGGAAGGCTAGCACTGAAAGAAGCTACTGCAGAGGCCATGGGGGTGGAATATTTATCCTTTGGCTTTTGAGAGGCAGTCCTGGCAATGCACATCAAAGAGTTTCATCTTAAACTGCTTGGAATCAGGCAAAATAGCTATTGGGAAGTGTGACAATTCCTTCTCACAGGAGGGAGAAGCAGTCATCAAAACAGAAACATTTCCCACCATTCTCTGCTTGCTCCCAGACTGAAAACAGTCTCAGCCCAGCCCAGCCCACTCTACCCCAAAACACGCAGCAAGTTCAGCAGGGCACATGGTGCGAGAAAAGGCCTCAAACAATCAGAAAGGGGGAAGTTGCTCCTCCAGAGGCCTGGTCATTCCATCCGGAAGAAAGGGACAAGGCATTTTCCACTAGGACTACAGGCTGCCTTCTTTGAGCAGGAATGAAGAGGCCTTCCAGCCCTCTCCTGCCAGGATGGAGATGGCCATAGCATCTAAGCTCACAGGACCCTTGCCCCTGATTAGAACACTGGGGATACAAGCTGGAGCCTGTCCAGCCAGGGCAGAAATGGATCTCATATACTCCAATATTTAGGAACCTCAGAGGAGAAGTTAGGGGTTGTGCCCCGCCATGTGCAGAGTGTGGGGGCTGCTGTGTCTCCCTTTAACTCTTTGTATCTTTGGCATCTGTCAGTTTGTGTGTCAGCTATAGTGAAGCAGTGCGGTCTACGGTTTAGATAGGGTCTGGGTGCCATTACGCCTGGCTTCTGTTCCTGGCTCTAGAAGGCAGTGTCCTGTAATGGTTAGAGCTGGGGCCTGGGAGACAAGATCACTGGTTCTGTTCCTGATTTTGCTATTGAAATTTACAAAATGATTGTGGAAAAATCAACCTCTGTGCACCTGTAAAATGGGGATGATAATTCTTATTTAAACAATCTCTGTGTCAAGTGCTTTAAGGCCCACTCACGTTCAGGATCATATAAATGTACTACAAATAAACTCACAGGAGTGAACAGACTACAGGTGGCCATTTGGGGATGGAGAAGCCCAAGTGGGTCATTTTTATACCTATTTGGGCTACCCCACCCCAAGTTGGCCAAGACAGGGTCATATGATCTAAAATACATCATTGATAGTGGATGTAGAAGTACTACAACTCTAAACATTGAGGGAAAATTTCACTTCCATTCTTCAAAGATGCGATAGGGTCAAATGGTCCCGTAAGCTAAACTACTGGTGCCTCTGCCCAGAGAGAATATGAAAAATATTGTCAAAGGAAGGTTTATAATGACTGGAGTTGCTATTGTAGCGGGAGAATGGCTACACCCTTAGATTGAGAAAGCGACCCAGAGACTGAGAAAGCGACCCAGAGACTGAGTATGCTATCAGCCTGAGCTGTCAGGCACTATATCTCATGGCTTGGTTACAGGATGAATAGGGTGAGTTTACCTAGCCTGCCGCACTCTTCCCGTTTGGTGAAGTACTTGAAACCATTGGCTGCTCTTCGCTCTGCCTTCTCATGTTTCTTCACATGCCAGGGCAGTTTGGTGGTGATGTTGGTCACAAAGTAGCAGCCAGGCCGAAGACAATGGTAATGTCCCCGCATCCTGAATTCACAGTGCTGTAGAGGAACCAATGAGATAGGTTGTTTTAGACTTATCCAGCAACCGTGCTCTCAGTTGCCTGCTGTAACTTGCTTTCTCTCTGAAGGTCACGGAGTTGTTAATGTCACAGGTGGGCAAGGCCTCCAGTTCCATGTCACACACTGTCCGTTCTTCAAGGGGCACAGTACATTTGCTCTTCATCTGGCCATTTATTTTCAAATCATAGGACTTCCACCATTTCCCTATTCCACTAACAGGCAGCCTTTTCCCTTGTTTCATTTCCTCTCCTACCCAGACAATTTCCTTGCTTTACCTGGCGTTTACACTAGAAATGGTCCAAAATCAACACCTTCCCACACCCCCTGCTCTGAACAAACACAAACTGCCTATATTTTGGTCTGGAGCCGATTTCCCAAGTTCCAAGTCTCGCACCCTCTAGTTTATACCCTTCAAATAGCTCTGTGCATCAGAGGCCAGATTCATTCACTGGTTCAGCAGAGTCACATTAGGGATGAATTGGCCCCACTTTGTTTTCCTGTCTTTGCCAGGCTTTTATTTTTTCCTTTCCTTTCCCTCGCCTCCACAGCCCCTGCCTGGCCCACCTCCAGGGGCACTCTTCTTGGATTACTCTTACCTGGTTTGGACAGAGACACTGCAGCGAGTAGTAAGCAAACTGGTCTCGCACATTCACCAGGTTGTTGTTGGGGTTGATGTGGTCCAGGCAGTGCGACTCTGCTTTGCCAGAGGTTTTGCACACGTACTTGCAGTTCCCGAACAGACAATGGAAGTGGAACTTGTTGGCATACTTGCAGTCCGTCGCCAGACAGGGGTCACTGGAACACAGCCAAAATCCAGACATCATCCTCATTTCTTCCCTCACCCCTTGGCTTCTTTCCCAACATTCACTCATTTAATTGAGGGGGAGCCCAAGTGCAGCCTATGGGCCACATGTGGCCCACAGAGCTCCCATATCCAGTCTCGTTAACATGGAGCTGCAGCCTGCAGACACTACCAGCCCCAGCAGGCAGTGCATGCTCTTGACAGGAGTGTGTGAAGCTGGAGCACTGCATGCTGGGACCTAGAGCCTCTGTGGCTCCCTTCAGATCATGCTGGGACCTGTTGACCCCACATTCTTTCTGTTAATGGGTGAAGAGAGCTGTGCTTGGCTCCATTTTTTGCACAGATTAGGTGAAGCACTCGGGCTGCATGTTGCAAATTGCCAGGATAACCCTTGGCTAAGAAATTGGTGCAACCTTGATTTATTTGATGACCTAAATGGCCTTGGTGCCTCTCCCAGGGCAGTCACGTTCCATTGTTTTACGGCTGCAGTTTGTGAACTCTAAGGGCTTGCCTCCACTGCCCCACAGTTCAGACTGTGAAGTGTGAATTGCAGTGCACACTAGCTGTGTTGTTACTCCCCCAGGTGAATGCTGCAGGCGCAAACGAAAAGGTACTTGTTTAAAGCGGACTATGTCACTGCAAACTAGGTACCTTTTAGGTTGCACCTGCAGTGTCCACACGGGGGAGTTGCAACGCAGCACATGTGTTCGTGTGGCAATTCATACCCCCATAGTTCAAACTGAGGCCATGTAAATATAGACTCAGGGGAATTTCTAGGGCTTAGTATATAAGATGGCCAAACACTTGTCTTGTGCATTCAAGTCACAGTTCCCAGTGCTACCTGCCCTGCTACAGGGGCTTCCTATAGTAAGCTTGCTTGAAAGAAGACATAAGTGGGTCAATTACTGGCCCAGAGAGACATGGCCTACCAGCCTAAGCACATGATGGAGAGCCAGGAGCTGCAGTGTTCTAATCCCAAATGCGACCCAGACTCTTTCATTGACCCTGGGCAAGTCACTTAACCTCTCTGCCTCTCTTTCCCCATCTGTAAAATGGAGATAACACTTGCCTGCTTCCCAGGAGTGTTATGAAGCTTCATGAATGTTTGCAAACGGCTTCAAAGCAGAAAACTCTAACAAGGTGCTAAGTGGTGTTGTTATTTTACAGCTGCACTTAGGCAAATGCTTAGCTCCTGAATTACCTTGTAAATAATAGCAAATAACACTGCAAATGGGAGCAAAGCACTTCAGGAGACCTACTACCCTTTCACAGCAGCCCAGCTGGGATGCCAAAGCTCTTCCAAGGAAGGAAGTGATGGATATCTGCTCCCCTCCCCCCATTCCTGGTTTGATCAGAGTCTGAGCACTTTCTTTTTTTCCAGTTTATAATTTTTAGTGAGAAAAGGAAGATTCGCTGCATAGTCCAAGATACAGATTTGACGTTCTAACAAAGAGGCAGCAGGTGTTACTGTGGGCAGAGCCGAGAACAATTTCCTTCCCAGGGGTCTGTACAAACCCATTCCTACTTAGCTTTGCAGACATCAGTCCTTGCTTTGAGCGAAACATAGCTGGAAATGGCAAGTTTCACCTAGTTTCAGGTCAAAAATCACTCATTAATTTCTCCTAGTTTTCATCACATATTGGCCCAATTTTGCCCAGACTCATCCCAAACCTGGTCCAACTTCGCCTCAAACCCAGACCAATTTCACCAAACTTTTTGCAAACATTGCCTGAGTCTAGCTTTGCAACAAAGCCTGGAACCAGGCAACCAGGGGTTTCTTTCTGAAGGATTTGCAGTGCTCTGGCCCATACCATTTGGCCTCAGTTCCAATGCAAAGCCCAGTATCTTTGCTTTCACACCCCTGGAGGTACAGCAGCAAAACTGAGACAACATGTCAGCAGGTTTACCCTCCGCCCCCGACTTTATCTAAAAAGATTCCCAAACATGTTCAAACATTTGGGATTGCTGCTTTTCTGCAAGATTGTGGGAGGGGCGGAAGTGCTGAGAGCATCCTGGGGAATGGAATAAATCGCCTCTCATTGGATCTGTCTCTCACTCAGTCGCAAGGTGAAAGCCTCAGGTGGACATAGAGTGGTTGATCAAGCATTGAACAGAGGTGAAGTGGGGAGGGAGAAGCCTCTGTCTACTCTCTTCGGCTGAAGAGGGCACATGGAGGCTCCTGGGGCAGGCAGGACAATCATCCCCTTGTTGCCCAAGGAACTCACTTCTCCTGGAACTGAAGGAATCCGGGTTTGACCTGAGGCTTGGCGTTCTCTAGGGAAGTTGTTGCCAAGGGTGAAGTTGCCAGGTTAGGCACCAGTGCTGGGATCTGAGGCATCTGGGGTATGGTGGAAGCCAGCTGCTTCCAAGCTAGCAATGTGGGGGCAGAGGGCACAGTCGCTGGGCTCGGAGTGGGCACATCCAGGGTGGGAGCGCTTGCCATAGTGATGGAAGTAGTGGATGGCGATGAGGGGGCCAAGGAAGTCTTGGTCTCTGCAGCACTTGGGAAGGGAGACTCAGAGTTTCCTTTCACAGCTCCACCCTCTGTTCGGAAGTGAAAACTGCAATGGGAAGAGACAACCGTTCACATTAGAGAGAGCAAGTGCAAGCTGCTGAGTCCTTGACTAAAAAAGAGCAGATTATGGAGAGACTGGCTAAGTGGTGATCAAGGGTCAGGGGAATATGACAACAAGCTCTGAGTACATGACAGGTGTAAAACCATGACCCAAATTTTGAGACGTGCAGGACAGCTGTTGAGCACCCCCAGGCTCCCACAGACTTTAGGTCCCCCCAGGATCTGCTCACAAACAGGGAGAGGAATTATTTAAGGAGGCACATGAGGGTGTAGCTAGGAGCAATGGGCTAAGATTGAGGTGAGCCATGTAGGTCTAAAATCTTCCTGCCAGTGAGAGCCACGAGTCTGTGAAGGCATGGAAACCCCACTGGTTGGGACATTGGTATACAGGCTGAAGAAAGCAGTGGAAATGCAACAGGAAACAATCCTGCCCTGGACAGAGGAGTCGATGGCCTAGCAGGTCTTTCCAGCTCTGTTTGCGCTGAGTTTCCTTCCATTTAAAACTATCCAGACTTCCACAGTCATATGGCCACACCCTGAAGTCCTGGCTCAGTCCTTACTTGGCCAAATCTCCCATTGACTTCAATAAAAACTGTGCTTGAATAGGGACTGCTGGAAATGGCCCTTGGAAGTTGGGGTAGAAAATATCTATTAGACTTTCTAATCTCTCTGCCTCCAGATAGTGCAGACGGAACTTGGGGCCAATCCTTCCTTCACTTCCTTCCTTGCAGCAATAATGGGGCCAAATCCCAAAGAAGCCCAAATCCCTTCTTTATGCAAGACTCACGCTGGAGTCAGCTGGAGTTCTGGGTGTGGTATAGACTTCAGGATCTGGCCCATATGTGAGTACTTTTTGGCTGCCTCAGTCTTGCCCATCCACTGCTCTCCAAAGTACTTTGAGGGTGACAAGAAGGGCCATAGGCTATATTGCCCATGCTGAGAGGGATATTAGGGCTGGGCTGGCTGAATCCTCAACTCCAAGCCCCCTGCCTACACGGAGCGAAGATCTTTACAGCAAACAGAGCAATGGAAATAGGGACCTAGAAAGCAGCTTCTCTCCTGTGTTGGGTAATCAGGGAAGGTGCTTGTTAAACGGGATTTGCAGAGACAAATACAGTGGGCACCATTAAAAATGCAACGTTTGCTACTCTGCAGTGACTGCAGCGCTGCCAACACCACTCCAAGAAAGGTGCCAGGGCAGTGAATGGCGAGTTTTTAACGGTGCTCCCATCTGTCTTTCCTATGTGGGTATTCTTATTGCACAATTCTACAATGCTGGGAAGCTGCGTTCTTGGTGCACAGTCTCCTGGGCAGCTTAGGGGAAAACCGGACTGGCCACTTCTCAGCCCTGCTGACACTGCAGACCAGATGAGACACACATTTGCCAAAGGCTGAACACAACACCGGTGCACACTTATTGTGAGTCACTGAAAATTAAAGAGCATGCCCAGCTATTCTGCAGGCAATTCAGCCGGATATGTTTAAAACAGGCCTGTGGATGCTCCAACTGCTGCCCTCTCAGCCACCATGCAAACCCACAGCCCCACTCATAAAGGCAGTTACAGAATGAACCCCCCAGCCCCGCCCCAGGCTGCCTATACTGTGTGACCTTTGGGTTTCCCTGGAGCGTGTCTCTGGATTCTTGAACCTCCACTTACTTGGCATGTTTGATGGCCCCATCCAAGGTGCTGAAGAGGGCACCACATTCCTCCACCACGCAGTGGAAATGCACTTTATGGAGGAAGTCGCAGTGGGCATCACAGAAATCCTTGGTACCAAACCTGGCCAAAGAAGACAAGCACATGGCTTACAAAGAGCCCTTTGGTGGCAGCATCATTTGAAGGGAATTGTGGGGAAACAAACTGGCACATTAGTGTTATTTATTATTTATATTATCATAGCATCTAAACTTTTCTTTTTAACTTCCTAGAACCGAGGAGCTGGACAGGCCACAGCTCTGATGTCACTCTGTGTGTGTGCGCGCGCGAAGGATATCTCTGGCACTATTGCTCAATTACAAGAACCTGGCATGTACCTCAACATACAAATTGGGAGCCTGAACTCTCTCCTGTTGAAGTCTATGGCAAAACTAGCATTCACTTCAATAGGAGCAGGCTGTGGAGTTTTCCTGAAACAAACGATGAAGAGTAGTAACGTTCTAAAGCATCTGTGCACAAAAGCAGTGGGCCTGGGGAGCAAGAAAGAAGATGAAACTGGAAGGTGATTCTGACCTAGGGAGCACCACTCAAACCGAATGGGATGATTCTCACAGCTAGAATGGCAATGGGAGTGCCAAAAAAGGAAGAAATGTGGGGGTGGAGCCAGAGGTCAGGGTTTGAGAAGTACAAACCAAAGACTAACAAGACAGGAGGACAGAGAGAATGAGTAACTCTTGGCCAACTCCAATGGGACTTGAAACTTGAAGTGGGTCCAAAGCCACACCCTCTAACTCAGAAGGCATTGAAGGGCATGGGAAGGGGTTGAATCTAGAGCCAAATGTCCTGGCTTTTCTACATCTCTATTTGAAACCGCAGTGTAGCACCTTCGAGGGGGATTGTAACTTCTCAGATGTCTACTGTGTAACAAATACAGACCAACAGGCATCATCAGAAAGTCCCAAAATTACACAGGAAAAGACAGTTACCTTTTATGGTAACTGGTGCTCTTTGAGATGTGTTGCTCATGTCCATTCAACTTAGGTGTGTGTGCTCACCACATGCACTGGAAGTTTTTCCCTCAGCAGTGTCCATATGTGGCATATGGACATATGGAGTGGCCCCCTCCACCCTCAGTTCCTTCTTGACAGAAACTCCAACAGTGGGGAAGGAGGGTGGGTCGTTGAATGAGCAACACATCTTGAAGAACACCAGTTACAGAAAAGGTAACTGTCTTTTCTTCTTCGAGTGATTGCTCATGTCTGTTCAACTTAGGTGACTCCCAGCACTACCCTTGGAGGCAGGTAAGGAGTTCACGGACATGTAGATTGCAACACAGCTCTGCCGAACCCAGCATCGTCCTTTGCCTGCTACGTGATGGCGTACTGGGCCGTGAACGTGTGCACCAAGGACAGATGTCCTGGATTGGAACATGTGCCAGGAAGGCCACCGAGGATGCCTGCGTTCTAGTCGAGTGGGCTCTGACGATCAGCGGCGGAGGGACTCCCGCTAACTCGTCGCAGGTCCTAATGCAAGAGGTGATCCAGTTAGAAATCCTTTCCATGGACACTGGGAGGCCCTTCATCCTATCAGCAGAGACAAAAAGCTGAGTCGATTTACGGAAGCGTTTTGTCCCATCTAGGTAGAAAGCGAGAGCCCTTCTTATGTCGATAATGTGAAGGTGCCTCTCTTCACTGGTCTCATGGAGCTTAGGGCAGAAGATCAGAAGAAAGATGTCCTGGCTCATGTGGAAAGTGGACACCACCTTGGGAAGGATGGCCGGGTGGGGCCGGAGCTGGACCTTATCCTTATAGAACACTGTGTACGGTGGTTCTGAGGTCAGGGCTTGCAGCTCGGAGACTCGCCTTGCCGACATCACCGTCATGAGGAAACTACCTTCCATGATAGGTGAGAGGGAGCATGAGGCCAAAGGCGCAAACGGCAGACCCATGAGCCTGGACAGAACCAAGCTGAAATCCCAATGAGGAGCTGGGGACTGGACTTGAGGGAAGAGCCTCTCAAGGCCTCTAAGGAACTTGACTGTCATGTCATGGGAGAACACAGTCTGCCCCTGGATTGGCGGATGAAAGGCTGATTGGCCGCCAGGTGTACCCGAATAGAGGAGTACTCCAGGCCCTGGTTTCTTAAATGAAGCAGGTAGTCCAAGATGGACTGCACCGAAGAATGCCCCAAATGTCCACTTTGCCAGGTAGGTCTGCCTAGTTGAGGGCTTTCTACTCTCAAGGAGGACCTTCTGGTCCCCGTCCAAACAGGCCCGTTCATCCGGGTTCACGCAACATCCACGCCGTGAGGTGAAGGAACGCCAGGTTGGGGTGCAAGAGTCAGCCATGATCCTGTGACAGCAGGTCCAGTCGGTTCGGCAGGGGCTAGGGAGGGATCGCTGACAAGCTTGATAGCGTCCCGAACCAGTGCTGGCGAGGCTACGCCAGGCTGATCATGATAACCTGTGTCTTGTCCCTCTTGATTTTTTGCTAGGACCTCGCTGATGAGCGGAATCGGAGGGAATGAGTACATCAGGCTTCCTGCCCATGGCAGGAGGAAGGTGTCGGAGAGGGACCCCTTGCCCAGACCCCATCTGGAGCAAAACCTGTGGCACCTTCTGTTCTGCCTGGTGGAGAACAAATCCACTTGGGGAGTTCCCCACCTCTGGAAGATCATGCCGGCTATCTCTGGGTGAAGCACCTACTCATGGTGAGAGGAGAAGTCCTTGCTTAGGTGATCTGCCAGCGTGTTCCTGGCACCCAGAAGGTGACACATTTCTAGATGAATTCCATGGTCGATGCAGAAGTCCCAGAGATGGAGTGCCTCTTGGCAAAGGGCCAAGGATCGTGCTCCGCCTTGCCTGTTGATGTAGACCATCAAGGCTGTGTTGTCTGTGAGGACTCGGCCCACTCTGCCCGACAGGTGAGGTAAGAAGACCACGCATGCTCTGCGCACCCCCCTGATTTCTTTGACATTTATGTGTAGTGTCGACTCCTCTGGGGACCACATACCTTGGGTCTGGAGGATCCCGAATTGTGCCCCCCAGCCGAGGTCCAAAGTGTCCAAAACCAACTCGACTGAGTAAGGAGTGCTGACGAAGGAAATTCCTTCCAGGACTTTCCCGGGGTTGGTCCACCATTGCAGCGAGGTAAGTACCATCGTGGGGATGGTGATGACCTTCTCCAGGTGGTCCCTGGACAAGTCTGAGGCCATGGGCCCAGCTGTGGTGCCACCGACGTAGTCTGCATTGTAGGTACCGGAGCCTGTCCCGCCGCTAGGGAATCTTGCTCCTAACCTGAGGTAAAGCCCGAGCAGTCGCTCTCCTGTGACCAAGACGGGGCTGATTGGTACCGGTTGCCCCTCCAGGAGTTGAATCTGGCTGACCTCGACGAGCGTCTGGATCAGGGCCTCGGCGACCAGTGGCGGTCAGCGGATCCACAACAGCCCCAGGCTGGCAATCTACACCTCAAGCTTAACGAGCGGTACTGGGATCGGGAGCGGGAACTAGACGGGCTTGGCGTCATGAAGATGTAGCCACACAGTGATGCCGCCCTGTGAGATTGGCGACCGTCTAGAGAATGGTACCGTTGATCCCTCAACCTGTCCCTGGAGCGGTACTGGTGCTGCCGAGATTCCAGGCGCCAGCTCCAAAACTCCTGCTGGGGGGCGTGTGCCTCCAGAGGTCTGCACCAGCGAGCCCTGCCTTGAGCCTCTCTGTCCTTGTCCTAGGTCCGGAGACCAGATGGGGCTATGAAGCTTCTGCCTATCATGGTCAGAAGCGTGTTGGCTGCAAGAGGGCGACTGTTGGCAGGGAGTGCTGCCGGAAAGGTGGAGATTGTGGTGGTCCCAATGCGGGTTTACCCCGGCTGGGAACCCGCAGGGTCCAGAGTGGGTGGCACCAGGAGGGACATCATGTCTTGCTTCACTTGGAGGGCTTCCGGTGTGGATGGCACCCACAGCTGATGAGGACCTCCGCTGCTATCTGGGGTAGCTGGTGGGGAGTGGGCTGGGCTACACCGCTCGACCTGAGCTGGGGCCCGGGATCCCGAAGGGGGTGAGGAGGTGCCCGAGACAGGGCCTTGGGCCACCTCAGACTTGTCCTTTCCCTTGCGGGAAGCTGGAGACCTTCCTCGCCCCTTCTTCCTGGGCTTCTTGGCTGGAGCCATGGAAGGGGACCAGTGCCGGCTCGTAGACAGTACCAGCAGGGTGCTGCGCACCGAGGTCACGGTGCTCAGTGCCAGATCGGAGCGCTGCTCCGGCATCGGGGTAAGGGCAGACTCCATCAGGAGCGCCTTCAGACGAATGTCACAATCTTTCTTTGTCCTGGGCTTGAAGGACCTGCAGATTTTGCACATGTCAAGAATGTGACTTTCACCCAAGCACCGTAAACAACTATTCTGTGGCTCACTAATAGGCATGGGCCCTTTACAGCGATCGCAGGCTTTAAAGCCTGGGACCGGGGCATGCCCCATCCCGAGGCGAAGTCCCTTTAGGGACCTACTAAGTCTCTAACTTAACACATCGCTTGAAGTAAACTAGAGGGAAACTATATACAGTAATATTTGCCAGGCAAATGAGTTCAAACGAATGAAAAGCAACAGCTCTAGCTGAAGCAGCGCCAGTCCCATGCACCGTCACTGGCAGCAAGAAGGAACTGAGGGTTGAAGGGGCCGGTGGTGCCCTATATGCCGTGGCATATGCATGCCACTCCAGGGGGCGCCAGAGCCAGTCCCCTACGGATACTGCTGAGGGAAAAACTTCGGCACTGGTGCATGTGGCGAGCACACACACCTAAGTTGAATGGACACGAGCAATCACTCGAAGAAGAAACAACTTTCTGGTGCAGAAAGTGGGAGGCTCCAACCAGAAGAGAAGCCTTGCAGGAGCTGCCTCTTGCCACCAGGGTGGAACTAATCAAGAAGGCAAGAATAATAGGGAAGCCCAGTACCAGTGACTGTGAGCTGCTTCGATTCACCATAGTGAGGAATAGCAGCATAAGGGTATGAGATTTCAAGAAAGCAAATTCCCAAATTCCAGAGACTTAAAAAACCTAATGAGTAAGGTGCAATAGCAGGAAGTATTTAAACCTCCCTGGGTGTGGAAGGACTGGGGAATCTTCATAATTAAGGTGTGACAGACTACAGTTCCTCTGAAGATCAGGAAAGCAAAAACAAGCAGCAGCCTGTGTGGTCCCAGGTGGGACCTTAAATATCTGAGGTTAAAAGAAACAAAAGAAAGCTTGTACTAGGAAAGGAAAATGGCAGGGGATCCAGAATACATGGGGTCAGTTAAAGCTTGTAAGGAGAAGATAAGAGAGAGTGAGGCCCTGATAAGAGGAGCAATAACAGCACAAGTTAATGTAAACTAAAGGGGTTATTTTATCAGGGAGAAGAGGTACCATACTTAGGGAGAAAATAGGGCCATTAAAAAATGACGTTGGCGGGTTATGTCTCAAAAATGGATGAGCTACTCCACCGCCTTTTAAAATCTTCCTCTAACATGAAAAATAAAGACAAAGCAGATAGTTAGGATGAAATGAAGATCTTACAGAAAAGCAGATAAGGGAATGCTTAGAAAATGTAACTATGCACAAATCAGCCAGTCTGGATGATTGTCATCTGAGAGCATGCTTGAATTAACTCAGAAACTTACTGGACTACTGATATTGAAGTCATAGAGAACTGGGGAGGTGCCAGAAGACTAGAAAAAACAAATATGGTACATATTCTTTAAGGAAAAAACAAGAATGATCCTGGCAATTATCGTACCTCTGGTCTCAGTGTCTCTTTCCAGTAAAGTCATGGAACAAATATTAAGAGAGGGGAGAAAATCATTAAACATCTAGAGGATAAAGGAACCATGAGCAATAAACAGCATGGGGATTATAAAGAATAAATCTTGCCAAACAAATTTAATTGCTTTTTTTGATAGAATTATACAATTAGTGGATGAAGGGCTGCAATATATTTGGACTTTAGTAAAGCATTTTGATACAGAGTCTCACATATGCTTAAAATTAATTCAAATTGGCTTGGATGTGAACACTGCCACACGGACTGAAAACTGGCTGAAGGACCATGAACAAAGGGTAATGACAAACTGTAATGTACGGAGCTGGAAGGAGGTAGCTCATGAGTGCTGCAAGAATCAGTTGAGTTAGGTCGGATTTTATTTAACATCTTCATTAGTAATCTAAGAGAAGGAGTAAACAGCACATTCACAAATTCACAGATGATCCTAAACAGAGGAGCTGGAAGTACCAGTGCAAAGGAAGAGAAATAATGCAATAATGCCTAGAGAGACGGGGGGGGGGATCACAAATTGAGATTCGTATTTGGAAAAATGCAACTAATACATCTGGGGGGGATATTCACTAGGAAAGGAACCTAGAAGGCAGTGTTGCAATGAGAGACCCAGAGACACAGTGCACAACAAACGTGATACAAGTGTGCAATGTGAGATGGATACAAAAAAGGCAGTGCAGTTTTGGGCTGCATACACAAAGCAGGGACCTTACAGTCCCTATGGTGTGGTGGCACTGGAGTAGGGGATCCATTTCTGGACACCTGAGAGTTCAGAGAGAAGCAACAAACCCCACATCAAACTGAACCAAACCAAAGAAATGAGTAGGGGCCCGGAGGGACTGATTTACAAAGTGAGATTCAAACAACTAAATCACTATAGCTTGGATAAATGATGATATGCTACTAGTCTGTGAATATTTGAAGGGGGTAAATTCCAGGCAAGAAGAGGAATTAACTATTGTGGTTTACGGGGTATAATTAGGAGAATTGCAACAAAATAAAGAAAGGGAAAATTCAGGCAGCATATCAAGAAAAAAAGTATCCTGACAATGAAATGTTTTAGGTAGTAAAATAATCCTCTAAGAGGCGTGGAGAGAACTACATTGCTTGGCATAGTTAAAACTAGACTGGATAAAACACTAGCAAACAGACTGCAGGGATTGATCTTGCACTTGCCCGGCAGTTGGACTTCAGAGATCTTTCCCATCTTCAATGTTTACAATCCTATAATATGTTCACAGGCACTTGTAGTCAAGTGTGTTTTTGTCAGAGCACAAACCAATTCATGTCTGTTTGGGCATATCCATGTGTACTCAAATCATGTGTCAGTCTGGGCACATATGTGCATGTGTCTCTGTGTGGGTGAGTTCTATGCCTGTTCCATTTTCCCTGCAAGCCTCCTTGTCGACAAGAAAAACAGTCCCTCAGAGCAAGAACCAATTGTCTGCACAGTGCCCCCTGGGCTCCCTGCTTTGTATCACTAGTCCACTCACAGAATCAGACAAGAGGCGCTAATTCCACAGCAAGTACTCTCAAGGCTACTGTGATCTTCATGTATTAACTGTGCATGGTCAAACACTGGTTCACTGCTGAAGCGCACAGCTACAGGATATCCTTAGGATTCACTGCCTGGTATACGGGGGAGGGTTTCAGAATGAATGTGCATGCCATAGCATTCAAGCCACATGACAGTCTGTGCTGTTAGATACCACCCAAGGGACACTTGTGGCCCAATCCTGCAAGGTGCTGAGCACCTCTTGCAAGATATTAAGTACCTAATTCTCTGCCCTGCAGTCAAAGCGAATTGAGAGGACTCAGTGCATTGCAAGGGATACTCAGCATCTCATTGGATCAGGACCTCAAATTCAAATATCATTGACTGCATTGAATCCAGGTGGGACTGTAAGTGGTCTTAAAACTTGCTTCAGGAGGAGTTGGCCCCTTTGTGCAAGAAATAATTTCCCGCTTCCCTTACCTGCGCAAGTACATCTTCCAGGGCTCAGAGAGTTTCTCCTGAACAAGCGCCTTCACTGCTTTGCCCAGGTATTGTGTTGGCTCACCAGCCCCTGCCTGGTTGCCATCTCCTTCTGTCTTCAAGCTTGGCAGGCTGCCAAGGCTGGCATTGGCCTGGTTCATCTGTGGCAAGAACATCGACACAGCATCAGACACGAGTCACTGGCCAATCTGGCTCCACTCAAAAGTACACCATGAAAAGTCACGTTTTCAGGATTGGAAGGAAAGATCAGGCAAGAAGTTTGCACAGGCTGCACATTGCTCCAGAATAAATCAATAACTCATCATCGCCCTTCTCCAGCACCCTCTATTTGAGGATCTCAAAGCACTTGGCACTCATCAAATCCTCTCAGCCCCTACATCAGGTGTGGAAGCGTTATCCCCATTTTACAGATGGGGAAATTGAGGCAGAAATGGGCCCTGCACTGAGAACCAGGTGGATGGACCCGTGCCTAAAGGAAAACTCTTGACTCCATGTTTCCAGTACAGGATTGGAGCCTCAGTGACTTGAGCCCCATAGTGGCAGAGTCAGTAAAGGAAACACAAATTCTGGTTCCTAACCATCCTGCTCTAACCACAGGACGGCACTCTGTCTTATAAAACGATTGTAAGATATATTTATTTAAAGGATATATAAAATCCCAGTTCCATTTAAGTCTAGGGGAAAACTCCTAATGACCTCAGTGGAGTCATGATTTCAGCCTCTGTGTTTTATGTACAGACAGGGACGTGTGAGTGTGTACGTGTATTGAGAGAGAGAGACTCTCACTGATTCCAGTACAGAGCGATGGTGGGATCAGGCATAGATTGTACCAAAAAAAGACATATAAGCTGAAAAACTGAAATTACTTAATAATGCTTAGCCAGCAAACTTTATCTCCTAATAATATATAATATAATACCACAATTCAATCAAGCTCACCTACTCACATGAATAGCTCCAGTAAAGTCAGTGGAACTCCAGGCACAAATAAAGTGCAATATCAAGCCCAAGCTTTGCATTTAGAAATCACCCCCCATCTGCAGATCTCAAAACCCTTTATAAACATTAATTAACTAAACCTGACAGCCACCCTGAATAAACTGCATAACAACTGCCGTACATTACGGGACCCCTGGCTATTCTGAAGCTCTGTAAACACCGCCAGAAGGTGAAGCTACTGCTGCTACAAAACATCTCTTAACTGGAGACTGCAACTCTCACCCTATGTCTACTCTGCTACTGAGAGTGAGCCTCCCAACCTAGGTAGACAGACTTGCCCGAGTGTGGATGTTGCAGCTTTGGCAGCGGCTCAGGATTTCAAGTCGCAACTGGATCTGAGCCCAGGTGGCCAGCCTGAATCTGGACCGGAGCCACAACAGCCACACTGCTATTTTTAGCGCACTTGCTCAAGCTCCACTAGCATGAGTCTCGCTCCCAGTTGTAGTGTAGACATATCCTTAGAGGCTGAGAGTCGGAAATTCAGTTTGTCTTATTTCTTTGGAACCTTTGGAGCTCTCAGTTCAATTTCCTGGAAGGGCATTTTTAAAAGAGAAATTCACACAAAGAAAGAAAGGATTCCTCAATAAGGAGAGAGACATAGAGCAGACAAAGGGGGGAGAGAGAGACCCACACAGTCCTGTAACCCTTACTCTTGTGAATAGTCCCACTGAAGTCAATGGATCAGATTCTCCTTTGCCTTGCACTTTATGACACCATTTAACCCTGTGCATATGTTAAATGATACCGATCTAATTCACTAGTGTTTTACACCCATGCTGCACTTATTTTGCACAGGAGTAAGATGCCTGATTTGGGAAAGCATGTAAGCAAGTGCTTAACTTTAAACATGTGCTTAAATCCATCGACTTCCATGGGACTTAAAGTTAAGCTTTCCTCAGCTGGGGCCTTAAGGATGACTCAAGATGCCAGGCAATGGAGATTCTGACCCAGTGGGACTATTCTCAGAAGTAAGAGCTGCAGAGCCAGGACCACAGACTATGGGGAGGAAGGTATAAAGAGAGAGAGAGTGCATGTGTGTAACTATGTGATAAAGAAACCACTGAAAACCAAATGGAGGAAAAAGCAGAATGGAGGAGAAAAGTGACATACAGTGAAAACGAAAAAATGGAGAGTAAAAGGCCAATGGAAGAAAAGAGGGAGGAGGAGGGAGAGCACTAGACAAAGTCACTTTGCCCTTTCTTGAGGGTTATATAGCCTTGCTCGATATAATGCCCAGAGCCAAGGGGATGGCAGTAGTTATGCCTCTAAAGCCTATCACATAGTAGGATATTACTATGGCTCAGAGGCTGCCCTAATCGCTAATGCAGTTGTATACAGTAGCAAAATTAATCTCGCTATAGTAAAATTTATCATGTGGAAGGGAAAAATATATTTGAGATGATGTATAATTTAAGGAAGAAAGAAAAAGAAACCGTGCATTATTTAAAGTAAATATTCCAGAGCGTGGTAGAACAGGCTCAGTTGGACACCATTACTCATGCCAGAAAGGCGGAAATTGATGATTTTTGCTCAAAACTTGTAATTTCGTCTTTTTCTTCTGCTCTCTTTTACAAAAACAAACTCGCCCGCCATGAAACAAATGTTTTACAGTAAATAAATAAAATAGATAACTGTAAAGCGAGAGAGAGAGAGAAGTCGCCAGGTTCTGGAAATCAAATTTTTAAAAAATTCTTTCGAGCCCTCCTCTGTCTAGAAGGGATTAAAAAAAAAAGGTGTCAGGGGCTGCGATATATTTCTTCAGCCAGTTCATTAAATTAATTCGTAAGCAGGGGCTCTGAAATTATACCCGATGACAAATGGTCTCAAAATTTAAATGGTACAAACTCATCTTATTAGAGGCAAAACATTAAAAAACAAACGCATCTCCCCCCCCTTGCCATCGCGGCTTTAATTTCTCTTGGTGGGGGGAATGAAAGGCGTTTGATGGATGGCTCTTACCTTATTCATAAGCGAGGATAAAAGAGATGAATTTGCTGAGACTGTGTGGCCATTTGATTCATTACTGGAACACACAAACCAATAGGGTTTAGTTAAGACGTGCACAGGGACCGTGAGCACTGAGATTAATTCTTCTCCCTTCAAATTGTGTCCTCTCCCCCCCTCCTCCCCTACTTCCCACCTGCTGCATCTGGAGGAAGAGATGATGCCCATTCTCCCTCGGGCAGGTCAAGTT